AGAGAGAGAGAGAGAGAGAGAGAGAGAGAGAGAGAGAGAGAATATAAAAGTTCTACATGGAAATTTTTAAAAAATGCAACCAGGATTGGGGAGATGGCTCAGTAGGTAAAGTACCTGCCAAAAAGTAAGAGGACCCAAGTTTGAATCCCTAGAACCCAAGTAAAGCCAAGCACCTGTTAACACAGTGTTCTTAAGGGAGATGAGAGAGAGACGGGAATTCCTGGATGTCTGCAGGCCAGATAGCCTGGCATAGTGGAAAAAACACAGGACCCTTTCTCAAGCTGGAGGTGAAGACTGATACTGGGCCTGTCCTCTGACCTACACACACACACACACATACACACATACACGCACACAAGATGAAAAAACGTTTTTAAAAGTGCAACCAGTTTCTGTTGCTCAAGAAAGTTTGCTGATTCTGAAGGTTAAAATAGTATAAAACAGAATTAAGAACACAAAAATATTCCTTTGGGTTGAGTGCTCCAATCAACTTTATATACCAAATCTTCTACTATTCAAAATTGAATCCACCCAGGCACCAATGAGCTCTACTGTATTATATTTATCACCTCACTTATATTTAATAATTATTAACTAATTTTAATACAACTCACTCATAAATTAAAAGAGTAAAAAGTCTACTTACCCCACCCATTGTGATTCCATCAATAAGGGCAACATATGGTTTCTGACAAGAAGCTGAAAGAAACAGCTATAATTTTAGTTACAATATCTAAAACATATTCTCTTTTTCAAAAAGGCATATTTGTGGACTCTAGTCTTCCTATGAAATTTTTGTAAGAAAATATCAAAGAAGAATATTATATAGGTTGAAATATATATTATTTTAAAATTTTAAATTTATTTTTAAAATTTAAACTCCACAAGTTGTCCTCTGGCCTCACATGCATGCTGTGGTATACGTGCCATATACATAAGAATAAATTCAATTCACACACAACCATGATAAAATATTATCATTTAACAACTCAATCTTCAATTTGAAACAAATGAATACCTTGTATTATTCAGCGATTAAGAAAAATAACATCTGCCTTATAAACCATGTACGTAGCTGTATTTTAAAGAATATATTTTCTTTCTATACAACTACAGCATCTGGATAAATGCAGAGAAGAAAATCATACAAGAAAAAATATGGGGTGGGAGTTACGAGGCCTGGATTCTAGCCTCAGCTTTATTATTAAATTAATGGGCAATTCAACCAGGCCTGGGTGATAAATATATGATTTACATATGATATATGCACATACCATATATCTCATGCATACATAGGTGTCCTCATCTGTAAAATAAGACTACCTATGTCTTCAGATATCCTGTCCAGTTTTTAAACCATTAATCACAAAAACAGCTCTGTTTCCCTTTCTCTTTTCAGTTTTTCTGTAAAGGGGAAGTTAGCAGAACATAATAAAAATGTAAATTCCAAAGCTTCTATTACAGCTTATTGCCAATATTACCTCCCAGTAGAAGGCCAACATAAAAGTGTAGTTCTGATCCACAGAGTAATTCTGAAAGTATTCATAACCAAACACAACTCACATTTCACATTCACAGGGACTTTCATTGCTTTCGTCTAGACCTGTAGTTCCCTAAAAGCTAAGAATTATTTACTGGGGTGGAGATACATACATACACACCCCATTTCAACTACCACAGATACATATATTTCAAATATAAACTATTAGGCAATAACTAATGCAGAATAAAGCCAGAATATGCCAAATGTCTTACTGAATATAATGTCAATACAATATATAGAATTTTACCTTGAAGATTTTACATATACTAACCATATTCACAAAACACTCTTCAAACTATCAAAGTTTTCTACTATCTCCTTTTTATTTAGTGAAAATAATGGTAGTCACTGACCATATGTAACCATTTAAAATAAAATTATAATTAGGGCTAGAGAGATGGCTCAGCAGTTAAAGAGCATTGGCTGTTCTTGCCGAAGACCTGGGTTCAATTCCCAGCACCCACATGGCAGCTAACAACATCCTTAGCTTCAGTTCCAGGGGATCTGACTCCCTCTTCTGACCTCAGTGGGCATCACATGACACTGGTGCACTTACATACATGCAGGCAATCCATTCATACACACAAAAATAATAAATAAAATATTAAAAAATAAAATAATTACACAGAATTTAAAATTCAGCTTCGCTATTATATCAGCCACATTTCACATGTAAAATAGTCATATATTCAGTGGCTCTCAAAATGAACAGGACATATACAGAGCATTTTTATCAGTCCTACTTGAGAATGCAAAATATTGGAATAAATAAAATATTCTAAGTAAATTTGATGTACAGAATTTTCAGATTTAAAGAACTGATAGGGCCGGCACACTGGCTCAGCAGGTAAAGGCACTTGCTGCCCAAGCATGGCAACCTGAATTCAATCCCCAGAACCCATGTAAAGGTAGAAGGAGAGAACTGACTCTACTGAATTGTCCTCTGGCCTCACATGCATGCTGTGGTGTATGTGCCATATACATAATAATAAGAATCATTATTATTATTTTCCTATAAACTGACAGATGCCCAGTCAACTTAGCTCACTGAGCTAAAGTGGGAAATAGTCTCCTTTCTCTACTCCTTCTTCAAAGCCATAGAATTCATAGAAAAAAAAAGTTCCTAATTTTATCCAAGTTCAGAATGAAGCAAGAAAAATCTCCAGGTGCCAGAAACTCATAAGGAACTCAAAGTCAATAGCTGACAGAAGCTACAGCCAAAGATTAAGAGCTAACTGCACAACCATTCAAGCTAGGAGAAGCTAGTCTACACAAGACAAAAATCCTACCAATATTAAATAATAACCACCATTCAAACTGAATAAAACCATCCTTAACAAAGATGAATACAAGCAATGTACTTAGCTTGGTATAGGAGACAAATCAATCTCTTCTGCAAAGAGACATAACTAAATGCAACATTCTAAAAGCTTTCCCAATGATATATCAAAAAAACATTAAAACCATTCACTTTCATAACAGGTTCTAGCCAAATTATGACAAGGAAAGTTATAAACACAATGACTGGGAAGGCTTTTAATTATGTGCACATGATAAAATGTCCTATATAGAAAGTGAAGAAAACCTACCATTTGACAAATTTCAGTAGGATTGTTGGAAATAAAAATACATTAATATCATTAATACCAAAAGCATTTCTACATGCCCAAAGTAGTCACTCTAAGAGTCTTAATAAGAAAAAAAAAAAAATTAAATACAGTAATAAAACTGAATGATACCTAAGGATAAATATTTAAAAAGAAAAATCTTAGGGGTTGGGGAGATGCCTGAGTTCATATCCCAGCCCCACTTAAAGACAGGCATGGCAGTAGGCACTTGTAACCCCAGTGCTGTGGGGTAGAGACGGGAGGATCCTGTGGGCCAGCCACTCTAGCTCAAACAGTGAGCTCCAGGTGCATTGAGAGACCCCGTCTCAAAAAATAAGGTGGAAAGAGATAAAAGAAGACACCAACAGCAACCTCTGGCTCCACATATACACGCATGGGCAAACAAAGCTGCACACACACGCATGTATCACATACATATACACACAAAATTTTAAAAACACTATCTCACTATCTTTATAGTGAAAATTAAAAGATATTATTGGAAAGACATAATAGTAAACTAGAAGAAAAAGTCCTAAACTGATTTGGGAGGACAGCTGTATAACTTGTTAATCTTGCTTAATCACCAAACTGCTCATTTGAAATCATTTGAAATGGGAGTTTTTTAATGATATTATACTGTAAATTACAACTCCATAAAGATTCATGGAGGGAAGACACCTATCAATGAGTTCTCCCCAAGTTAATGCACAAGAATTAATTGTCATTCTAATCAAAATTTCCAAACTGGCTAACTGGCTACACTCTCTTGTGTGCTCTCTCTCTCTCTCTCTCTCTCTCTCTCTCTCTCTCTCTCTCTCTCACCATTGTAAGGTTGAAAGATGAATTGAACCATGATGATTTAGGGAACATCTATATATAATAAGACAACCCTTATGTACATTCCAAACTACAAGTAATACTCAGTTCATACATGTGTAGTAAAAATATAAACTATAGCCTAGGAGAATACACTACAACTTAGTAGCATGGAGGCTCCCAGGGAGGGTTAATGGTTCATTCCGGTGAGAGAAAGCAAAGGCACTAAGAAAACCACAAAATGGGCTAAACTATAATTTTAAAACCTATTATCCTTTTAAAGAATTTGCATAACATCAGGCAAAATCAAAATATTGTTATACACACTGTCTGGACTTGTGGGTACAAATATATTTATTAAACTTTTCAAAATGCCTGTTTGACTAAAGTAATCTTGCACCAAAACCTACAACTTTTAACCATAAAGAAAATTTCACCCTAGAATTCCTAAAGAATTAGGAAATGGTATTTTATTTAGAAAACTAGGAATCAAGGGTTTTTTGTTTTTTGTCTTCTCAGAAAATTAGCTACATGATGAATCCATAATTTTTAATTTTTATTTTACTTTATGTGTTTATGAGTTTTGCATGCGTGTGTACAAGTACACCACATATATGCAATGCCCACAGAGACCAGAAGAGGGCATCAGATCCTCTGGAACTGGAGTTATGGATGGTTAGCCTGGATGGGTGCTGAGAACCAAACTAGAACCCTCTGCAAGAGCAGCCAGTGCCCTTAACCACTGATACATCTCTCCAGCCCCAAGAATCTGTATTTTCACACTGATTTTATAACAAATAGAGTTTAAAATAGCTTCATATATTAAAGTGCAACTGATCCATAATTATCAGAAGAATTTAATCAGTCTGACTAATGCACGTTATACAAAAGCTTCAGGAAGAGTGCCTGTTGCTTATGACTGAAGACATCACACTGTCATCCCATTTCTTGTTTCCATTTTCAAAGCTTGTCAGCAGTGCACACACATACCGATGGCATTGTTCAGGATATATTCTTCTCTGAAAAAATCTTGAGACAAATTCTGTTTTGCTTTTTTAGCTTCTGAGATTGCTAAAGAAGGAAGAAAAGAGAAAAAATGAAGAGAACAATTACAAATCATAAAAGCATTTTCTAACAGTCAAATATATTAAAAATACTAGAGTGGGCCAGGCGTGGTGGCTCATGCCTTTAATCCCAGCACTCGGGAGGCAGAGGCAGGCGGATCTCTGTGAGTTTGAGGCCAGCCTGGTCTCCAGTGAATGCAGGCCAGCTGGGGCTACAGGGAGACCCTGTCTCAAAAAAGACCAAAAAAACAAAAACAAAAATAAAAAAACCGAACGTAGTCATTAAGTACTGGAGGGAAGAGGAACTTTAAAATGGCTTTAATGTTTTGAAGTCACCCATTTGGTTGACACATTACATTTACTTGGAGAGTCAGAGTCCAATGCAAAGCTTCAAAGCAAAATCCTTATTTTACTTATTGTGATGTACACACACACACACACACACACACACACACACACACACACAGTTTTTATCCATAGTTCGTGGCTCCTTAAGGAACCTCCAATACAGATCATAAGAACTAGAACTTCTCACCCCAAGTAGGCTACATTCTCTATTCTCTGTCTTTTTCCCTTCCACTATCATGGAGCAGGTCCTGAAGACATTCTAATCCAGATCATAAGACCCTCATTTGAAAACCCTCCATCCCAGACCTGAGAGGAAGGAATGCAACCAACAGAGAGAAAACAACAAGAATTTGAGCAGATAGAATCTGTTGGTGCCCATGTGGTCTACTTGCATCAGAGTAGACCTTCTGGACAATCACATCTCTGCATGTTCATCCATACTTTACTCATGCTTTACAACAAAATCTCAAGAAAAACCCAAAAGCAGGGTTTGAAGAGCTCCCTGATAGCTCAACATGGAGGTTCCTGGAAGATGGCACAGCCCAAGAGGGCATGGAAGCTCTACACTTGTTTCCCCATACCTTGCCCTATCCCTGTATCCTTTATAATAAAGCTCTGTGAGCCACTTCAGCATAGAAACTGACCCTGAGGAGTGGGCTGTGGGAACTACATTCATACAAGTCAGTCACATGCTCAGATAAAACAAACTGGGGCTTGTAATTGGCATCTAGGGGAAGAGGAAGTCTTGGGAACACAGCCCTCAACCCATGGGATCTTGACCCCATCTCCAGGAAGACCATGTGAGAGATGAATTGGGAGGACATCCAGCCCAGATTGCTTGCTTGTGTGAGGGCAGGAAGATCCTTACACATCTGATGATCTACACTATGAAAATATTGTGTTTGAGTTTGTTTTCCATCTAGATTCATAGACTTATTATATTCTTTTTTTTTTTTTTTTTTGGTCTTTTTGAGACAGGGTCTCCCTGTAGCCCCAGCTGTCCTGGAACTCACCATGTAGACCAGGTTGGCCTTGAACTCACAGAGATCTGCCTGCCTCTGCCTCCCAAGAGCTGGGACTTAAAGGTATGTGCCACCATGCCCAGCTGACTTATTATATTCTTATTGTACTTCCTACAAACATGTTAAATTAGAAATTATATAATATTATAATATGGCATTTTCTTTGGGTAATTTTTTTCTTTACCACCTGAATACACATTTACCAATCATATCTTTGCTTTTATTAAGTACTGTATCTTGACACAGAGCACATTATACATGTACACCTGTGGTGCTGCCATAAGCACAACTAAATACTGATGTCATATTAATTTTAACACAGAACATTCACTGAGCATTTACTATGTACCAAAGACTATTGTGGGTGCTACAGAAAAAAAGAGCAATGTAAGACAGCTGCCCTAGAGTTCAGACTAATAAAAAAGATACACTATGAAATATACTGCATTATGGAAAACAGAGAAGAGAATGAATGCAATGCTGTGGAACTGGAGAGGGACTATGCTTTCCAAAAGATGTAAGCCTGAGCCGAGACAGGCAGGAATTTGAAGACAATCCACATTTCCCTGAAAAATGGCAGCGGGGAAAGTTTCCAGCAGAAAAACAGCACCTATAAGACATAGAAGCAAGAAAAGAGTAAACCCAAGAATCAAAAAGTTTAAAAAGACTAAAGGGAAATGGTAAAAGCTGAGGCTAAGAGGCAAACAAGACAACAGCGGTCTTAGGAGATGCCCACAGGAATACTACTTCTCAAGGGCATCAGCTCAGCACACTGCCACTGACTAAAGCATTCAGTATCTGCTGAACAGAAAGCACTCTACAGAGTTCCATGTACACTGCCATCTCCTACACACGTAAGGATGTGTTCATCACTTACTGCACTCCTACTCCAATCAACTCAAAACTGCTATCAAACTTTCTCTTCCATATGCTATCTCATATGACTTTTGTCTTTATATACTATGATAATTATCCGAGACATAAATTATATGCACTATATATAATTCTTCTTGATAGAAACACATTACATAAGTATTGCTGACTAGATTTTTAGATTTTAATTCTAGAATTCTGACATATACTCATTCCTCAGCATCCACAGAGGATTGGCCCATGGACCCTGCCCCTAGATGCCAAAATCCATAGATGTCCATATCTCTTAGGTACAATGATGTAGTGTTTGCATATGACCTGGGTGCATTGCCCTGTGCACTTTAAGTCCTCTCTAGATGGCCTATAACATCTAATGCAATGCAAACATTTGCCACACCACTGTATTATGAATGGAACAGTGACAGAGAGAAAAATCTGTACCTGTTCAGGACAGACATAATATCTTCCCAAATAATTTCAACCCATAGTAGTGAAACGGGGAGAAAGAGGATGCCCTACAGGGTTCTTAGTCTCATTCATAAAAGAATTTAAGAATGGACCCAAATGGGAGCTTTTTACAATTTTATTAGAATTTTAAAGAAAAATCCTCAGGGCAGGCAAGCTGGTAATCTTGGCAGCTGCCTTGAGGTGGTGAAGGGAAGAAAAGCCATGAAGCCATGCAGGTTTAGAGACTGTGTGGAAGGTCAGACACGTGGCTGTCCTGCAGCCACATGGCTGGGAGAAGGAAGCTTTAGAGAAAAAGAGATACAAGGTGGTAGGACAGCCCAAAGCTTTAAAGAAAGCATGCTTAGAAAAAAAAAAAAAAAAAAAAAAAAGCCATGAAGAAGAAAAGGAGAAATTATACTTTTCTGAAGAATTCAGAAAAGCAGGCAAACTTACAGAGACCTACTTGACTATGGCTGGTCCTAAGTTCTACAGAGGTCTGCACTAGAAGGCAGGATTCCAGGCAGGAAAAATTCACTACCTCATTAACACACCAGGCATTCAGCCCATCTATTTAGCATAACTTAAGGTGAACCTGCCTTCCTAGGGATGGTTCTATCACCAGGTGACAGACCAGTAAGACTGGAAAGGTGGGTCCTCCAACAAATTAGGGATTGATTTTATAGTCCTGACCAGTTAAATTTATGGGCCTTTTTGCTACTAACAGTAGGTTGAATTCATGATGCAGAACCAGCAGATACCAACTACACTGTCCTAAGAAAGATATGCTACATAATTGTGCTATTTGATGTAAATGACCAATATTTTCCCAAAGGGGGAAAAAAAAAAACCCTATCTGTCCTCCTTTGTTCAATAGTCAGTGCCTACAAATTCTAGGAGTGTAACTCCTGTCACCTCTAGACTGAAGCTTTTTTATCCCACAAACCTTTCCAGACTTCTTCTAATTTTATTCTAAACTAGTTTTTATTCAAATCAATTAGCTCTATATAAATTAAAATCAAAGCATATTCACAGCCACCTTTAAAATTTTTTCTGAGTATCTACTTACTACCTTGAAATTTTCTGGAACTGACACTGTTTTACACAGGCAAACTATGATAATTCTAAAATTTTTAACTGTATTTCCAAACTAGGATATAAAGTTAGACTCATATGCAGAAACAGTTCACAATGTGTAGTTCCCATGTGTAGACTGAGAAGATCAGGGGCCCAACTCTAAAGAAAAGGGTATTCCTGGGGGTAAAAAACAATGTTTTAAATATCCATGACAAGCATGGTAGCGCACACCTTTAAACCCAGCATTTGGGAAGCAGAGGCAGGTAGATCTCTGTGAGTTTTAGGCCAGTCAGGGCTACATAGTGAGGCAATATCAAAACAAAAAAAACACCAAAAAATATTGATGTTGTGGCCACTAAGAAAGCATGCAGGAGACCCTGGGTTTGATCCTTAGTGCACACATACAAATACATGCACACACACTCACACACACCCATAGAAACTCATGTTGTGTGCAAAACTATGAATTAAAAAACAATTCCATTAACAAATCAGTTTAAGAAATTAAAGTATCAGGGGCTGGAGAGGTAGCCCAACAGATAAGAGTACTGGCTGCTCTTGCAGAGGACTTGGGTTAGATTCCCAGCACTTACATGGCAGCTAACAACTGTCTGTAACTCTAGTTCTGGGGTAATCCAATGTTCTCTTCCGACTCTGTGAGCATTGCATGACACGGGTGCACTTACATACATGCAGGCAATACACTCATACACATAAAATAAAAATAATAAAATGTTTTTTAAAAAGAAATAAAGTTTCTCTTACAAAGCAATTTTAAAATTCAGTTACCTTAAGTTTAAGAGGTATTTGAAACTATGTCCTGAATCTAGATTTCTTTTCATCCTACTATTTTTATTTCTGAAGGAAAGAAGTCAATATTTTGCTCATGCCAAACATAAACAAGTTGCATTAGAAGTCAACAATATTTTCTGCTGAGAAAATAATGTCATAAAAGATCAGTCAATCTCTAGGAAAAGAAGGGGGTTCACAAAAAAGACTGCAGTTTACACATCTCCTTGAGTTTAATACTAGTAATTTTAATTTTTAAAATTTTTCTTCTTTGAGAGTATATAATAAAATATAATCATATCTACCTCCCGTTTTTCCCCCAAACTTGCAGATACCCCCATATCTTCCAATGTCATGTCCTCCTCATTAAAGAAATGATGAGGCCAGAGAGAGAGCTCAACAGATTAAGAGCACTGACTGCTCTTGCAGAGGACCCGGGTTTGATTCCCAGAACCCACATGGTGGCTAATAACCATCTGTAACTCCAGTTCCAGGGGATCTGAAGCCCTCTTCTGAGCTCCATGGGCACTGCACACATGCAGACAATATACTCATGCACATAAAAATAATTTTTAAAATGAATCCACTAAATCCATTCAGTGCTACACATATATGCATGGGTGTGGGGCCATCCACTGAAGGACGGACGGGCAGCCTACCTGCGGCCATATCCCTAAAGAATATTTCTCCCTCCGCATCAACCCTCAACTGCCAATAATTACTAATAATTTTTGACAGTCCATTGTACCTACAGAATTAGTGCAAGCTTTACCTCTTTAAGCACCTTTACCCTCAGGCTAGGTTCTAGGAGGATTTTGTACTCCGTGTTTGGGGTACCCCTAACCCTCTATTTTGTTCTGCTATTCCATATATCCTCTTCAGCTGCAGCTGGTCTTTTTCACTGTGAGCTCTGCTCTTTATGTAAACTCGGCTGCAGCATACTGCTCTCACCTTCCTTCCTTGGTTCTTCTTTCCTTGGCTAAATTGTCCCCCACCTAGCCAGGTAATACTCTCTAGTCTTTTAGGCCCCTATTTAATATCCCCTCCCCCAGGTTCTGTTTCATACTGCCCAGAAAACTTAATTCTTATTTTATTCCGATCTTGCTGCTATTTATTACTGCAAGTCATTTTACCTTTTTTTTTTTTTTCTGGCTTTCTTTTACTTTTTTTTTTCTTTATTTTTAAATTTTTGGTAAACATCATATACATGAGTAAAGTCTTCATGCTATTTCTATTCCTCCCTGTCCCCCTTCAATTCCTCCCATGTCTCCCCCACTCCTCAATTTCTTTTCTCCTTCCTTGATATTTATTGCTATATTATACATGCATACATCTGTAGATATGCATATATATAATACACTGAGTCCATTTAGTGGTGCTCCTGTGTACCTGTGTTTAGGGCTGCTCACTTGGAGTTACATAACCTCTCAGGGGGCATGTTCCTGGAGAAAACTGATTCTCCCTCCCTAAATATCCACTGATTGCCTGCAGTGTTTCATCTTGGGGTGAGACCCCTGTGATATTCCCCACATCTACCTTGGCATGTCACCAGGTCTTGTTAGACCACCATACTGTACTTCATTGGTACAGCTTCCCTATCATGTCTAGAATGCCTGCTGCTATTTTCTACCTAGTCTTAATGCAATGATTTATATAAACTTACAAATTTGGTGAGTAAATCAACTCAAAGATTGTTGTCTTTTAAGAAGAAAGCAGCCAGGAGCAGTGGCACACATCCACCAGTCAGGAGGCAGAGGCAGGTGAATCTCTAAGAGATAGAGGCCAGCCTGGTCTACATAGTGAGTTCTAGGCCAGCTGGGGCTACAGGGAGACCCTGTCACAAACAAACAAACATAAAAGAGTAAAACAAATATGCAGAATCTGAACATGGGAAAAAAAAAATCCCTAAACCCTACCAATTCCATAAGAAATAACATGCAAAATGTAAAAAAATTATCAATGTGGACAACCAGTGGTGACAGAACAGTAGTGACAGCACTAAGCATATGGCTCTGACTCTGAGGACAAATATTTATCTTTAATAGTTAAATATGTATGGATTGAACTGAACAATGATACAAATTATTACTTATCTGTCTATGATTAAACACATAAAAATATATACATGCGTGTATTAGTCACTTTTCTGTTGCTGTGATAGAAACACTGACCCAAAATGAAAAAAAAAAAAAACCAGTCAGAATATGTTAGCACACACCTTTAATCCCAGTAGGGATTAGAGGCAGGAGGATCTATGAGTTTGAAGCCAGCCTGGTCCACATAGAAAGTTCCACTCCAACCAGGACTATACAGTGAGACCTTGTCTCAAAATCCAAACTAAGGGGGCTGGAGAGATGGCTCATCAGTTAAGAGCACTGACTGCTCTTGCAGAGGACCCGGGTTCAATTCCCAGCACCCATGAACCGTCCTTAACTCCAGTTCCAGGGGAACCTGAAGCTCTCTTCTGACCTCCACGGCATTGCGCAACATGGGTGCACTCACATACATGCGGGCAACACACTCATACACATAAAAAAAATAATAAAATATTTTTAAAAAATACACATACACACACACACACACACACACACACACACACACACACACACGCTAGGATAAAGCTCTACCTCAGTATCTAGAAGGTGTCTGCTTTGGATGGTGAACATGGGAAAGCAGAGGAAGTGATGGAAACAAAGGATCACACGTCACATTTGGAGAACAGTAAGGCTTTTACCGTGCCCAGATTGTCAAGTGATGTGACAAACTGCTCAATACCAGTTATGTGATATTATGCAGAATGGAGCTGCATATCATAACTGTTTTGTTTAAGATGATTCAATGAGAGAAAGAAAATATTAAATTACAGCACTGTATATATGTAATAAAATAAACAAAATCCCCATTCTTTATTTTATATTTTATTATTTTTATTTTATGTGTATGCGTGTATTGCCTGCATGTAGGTAAGTACACCCGTGTCATGCAATGCCTGCAGAGGACAGAACAGGCTGTCAGATCTCCTGGAACTGAGTTACAGACAGTTGTTAGCTGCCATGTAGGTGCTAGGATTCGAACCTGGGTCCTCTGCAAGAACAGCCAATGCTCGCAACTGCTGAGCCATCTCTCCAGCCCCACAAAATCCTTATTCTAATGTTTACTAAAAGTCTCTAGGTTTTTTTAAAGTTTTTTAACTTTTTTTTGGACACAGGTTTTCCCCTGCCCTGAAACTCACTATGTAAATCAGGCTGGCCTCAATCTCACAGAGATCAGACTGCCTCTGCCTCCTGAGTGCTGGGATTAAAGGTATGGGAAACCACACCTGAAAAATTCTCCAACTTTTAAAGAATTACTAACATACCAAAAGATTATAAAAAGTAAATCAAATAAAAGTTATCACAAGTATTTGCCAATACTTCCAGTGAGGAGAATCATTTAAATAGAGAAGGGATCCTACCTTTTATATCACCTCCAGCACAGAAAGCCTTTCCTCCAGATCCCTTTATAATGATCAGGAACGTTTCAGGATCTTGTTCCCATTTCTACTCAAACACAAAGAAAGATGGTTTAAGCACACTGTCGATACAAGCTCCTTTAAGATACACTAAACTCCTTATAAAGCATCTCCAGAGGAATGACTCCTGTTCATTCTATCTGTGATGGAATGAACTTCATTTTCTTTTCTGAGACAAAATAGAAGTTATTCCAACACGGGGCTATATCAGCACAATCTGTGATCCAGATTTCATGATGGCATCTGAACTTTTTGTCAAAACTTTCAGAGCAAGATGAATGAATACGGCCCTAATGGCATTATGTCACATACCTTTATAAGTCTAGGGAACAGATCAACCTGAAGAACGCTGATGAGTAGAACAGCAGTAACCTTTCTATCATTGAGGCTGTATTAGTTACTTTGCTGCTGAGATAAAATACCATGACCAAGGCAAGAGTTTATTAGGCTTATGGTTCCAAAGGGGTAAGAGCCCATCAAGACAGGGAGGCCTGGCAGGAGGCAGCCTGGGCCCAAAGCTACCCCACATCCTCAAGAACAGACAGGAAGCAGAAAGAGAAACTCAAAATAGGACAAGGCTAGAGCCTGCTCCCAGTGACATGCTTCTTCCAGCATGGCCACACCTTCTATACTTAGAGCCTATGGGGAACATTCTGTTTCAAACTACCACAGTGATGCTGGGACTCTGTTCTACTGAAAAAAACTGTAACACAGTGAAGTTATTTATGAACTTGTTTAAACATTCAGGTGACATGGGGTTGGTAAGAACAGCTAATAAATGAACAGGATGAGAGACTGGAGTATAGCTCAGCCAGCGGTAGAATACTTGCTATATACCCACATGGTGAAAGAACATCATCCCCACCTCCTCAACTTACTGCTGAAGAAAGTACCCAACCTACAGAGTAAATATGTAGAAATCCAAGTTTCAAATTTATGTCTGACTTTAAGTCCTACATTCTTCAAACGTCCTATGCATTTCACTAGGAAAACTTTAGGGCCTTCTCTAAGATAAGGAGAGCTAAGAAATAAACAGAATAAAAGGCTGTGGGCGTGGCTCAGTAGAGCATCTGTTTAGCATGCACTAAACAGGAAGAAGGAAGAAGAGGAAGAGGAGGAGGAAGAGGAAGGCAAGGAAGAAGAAGAAAACAAAAAGAGTTGGTGATTTGAATGGGAAATGTTCCCCACAGGCTCCAGGTATACTTGGCCCCAGTTGGTGGCCCTGTTTGTGGAGGTTTGGGAGGAGTGGCCCTGATGGAGAAAGCACATCACTGGGCACAGGCTTTGAAAGTTATATAGCTTGCCCACTTTCAGTTTGTCTCTCTATGCTTCCCGTGTCTGCTTGAAGATGTTTGAGTGCTCAGCCTTTGCTCTGGCTGTCTTCTGCCATGCCGGACTGACTCTTAACCCTCTGCAACTGTAAGTCAGATAAACTCTGCCTTCTCTAAGTTGCCTTGGTCATGGTATTTTATCAAAGCAACAGAAAAGTATCTAATACCAAACTAGAGAAAGGGCTAGCTAAGCAATTTTAAGACTGCTGTTTTGTGGAGCATGGAGGTGCGCACCTCTAATTCCAGCAATCAGAAGGTGCAGGTAGGAAGATTCTGAGTTTAAGACCAGCTTGTGCTATGGAGCTAAACCATGTCTCAAAAAAAAAAAAAAAAAAACAAATAGAGCTGTCTTTAATCCAAAAGTTTGTCATGTAGAAGCAAATTAGACTGGTACAGTGATGCTCTAAGATCAGATAGGATTGTTTAATGAAAAGTGGCAAACATACACATGCCACAAAAAAAATAAAAAAAGTGAAAAATCAGAGCTATGTAGAGTAGAGGGTCTTTCTCCTAAAACAACGAACTTCCTAAGGGGAAGGGTCCCACAGGAAATCATCAATGATGCTGACCCAACAGAGTCCTAGGATTCTATCAGATAAAACACGAGAAATGTTCTACTACAATGTAGTCTACAAAGGAACTACACAAATGTGCTCAGAGTATTACGAACCTTGAGCTGTGGGTAAATCTGCCGAATCATACTGAGCGTCAGTGCGTTGAGGTGCTTTGGTCTGTTCATCGTTATTACTCCTGCACAACCTTTTCTTTCCAGCAGCACTTCTCCCGCTGCATCTATGTGTGCAGACATTCTCTGAGTGAGCAAAGAGGAGCCTCATTAAGTTTTACCACAAGCCCACAACAAAACATATACATTGTCCTAGTTTGTTTCTTCATTGCTGTGACAAAATACTCTGACCACTACCAACTTGGGGAGGAAAGGGTTTATTTAGCTTACATATCCCGGGTCACAGTTCATACGGGAGCCCAAGGTAGGAACTCAGGGCAGGAACCTGGAGTCAGGAGCTGGAGCACAAGTCATGGAAGAATGCTGCTTACTGACTTGCTCCCCTGGCCCCTGCTCAGTTTGCTCTCTTATCCAACACAGGGCCACCTGTCCAGGGGTGGCATTATCCACAGTGGGTTGGGCCCTCCCACATCACCCAACAATCAAGAAAATGCCCCACAGACATGACCACAGGCCAGTCCAATGGAGGCAATTCCCTAACTGAGGCTCCCTCAACCCAGGTGTGTCAAGTTGACA